TGAATCAGAATTAAAAAAAAAATTGGTCTTGCGTCGCTTGTGTGATTATCATCCTACTATGAAATTTACATGCATGGAATGCCAATAGAATATTCTTTGCTATTACATAATTTAAAACAATTCTATTTTAAGTAAAATATTTATAACAGTTTTGTTTATTAATTTAATTAGTTTATGCGTGTCTTTTGTTTTAATTTTATCCATCCGGAATTAGGCTCAAATTACCCTAATTACGGATAAAAAAATGTTTTTAAAATTTTTTGTATCTTAAAATTAAAAAAATAAATATTTTTTTTGCATTGTTTGATTCGTCTTGTCGCAATACATATTTCAGTGTGTTTATTTTTTCGAAACTTGTTATATTAAGTGAGTTGTTAAATTTTTTTTCAAAACGTCTGTAATGCACGGATTTATAGTTTCAGTTTCGTTCCGCAAATTATCTCAAAATTGTTTAGAAAAGTAAATATTTTTAGAATTTGAGAAGATTTGAATAAAAATTTAAGAAGCAGAATATGACATATTGATATTACTTTGATACAAAATCTTTGATATAAAATTTTTTTAACGCTAAATATCTTTCCTAGCGATTTTAGATTATAAATCCGTGTATTAGGTGTTTTTAAAGGTAAGCTCTCTTATCAAACCTCTATTCTGACGGTCTCTTTTAAGTCCGCAAACATGAAAAAGATGATTCATTTAGTTCAAGACAACCTGCTCAAACCCAAACTCTCAGTCGACGTATGCACACTCAGTGTGCCTAAGGCTACGTAAATCTGTCGATGTATTTACACTGCGAAGTGCCTATCCCTATACTCAATGCAACTAAGGCATAGAATAAACAAACTCGTAAAAAAAGCCGATAGTTTTAAACAAATCTGGTTTTAGTGGCAAACCAAACAACTTTTTATTTATTGGTATTTAATTAATGCAAACAATAAATTCGTAAATAATGGCAAAGGGTTTTAAACAACCAAAGCGTCATAACAGTTTTGCAGGAGATATATTAATATAATTATAAAGATATCTTGAAGTGTTTGTTTGGCATAATTTATCAACCTAATTACAATTTAATACATTTGTGTTGGTATATTTTAAAAAATATGCTATCTTTAAAAGTAGTTGGAATGAATTATGTTATATATATTTAATTTTGCACTGTGCTAACAACAAAAAGTACTTATCTTAACACATTACTGAAGCCATAATAGTTATTTGTATCAACTTATTGTTCAAAGATATGATTTTTTTTATAACAATAAGTTAAAAATAACCTATATTACTTTTAAATTATTGTTATAAAAACAAAAGAAACCAAATGTCAATTAAAATTTACTACTGATATAAAAACGAAAAGAAGTTTACCACTTCTGTTTTTTTTTATTGTTTACGGAATAATTTATTTTTTCAAGATGGCCGAATAAGTCCCGAGTTTCAAAAAATGATGCTAAGTATTCCAAAAAATGATACCAAATACCGAAAATAGTTTTTTGAATAGAGCTAAAAGTTATGATTATTTATGCAAAAACGACTTTTGTAGGAAAATTAACACTACCATAGTTTATCTGAATATAACGTGACATTATTGTAAAACTTACTCATTTATGTGTGGTATTGAAAATAATAGCTTCAGTTTTCATAAAAAAACGGTTTTCGCGGATAATTTTCCCAAATAATGTCTGATTAGAAATGTCAAGTTACATTGAAAACAAACACTAATACGTGCTTTTATGAAAAAAATCAAATCCACAGACTCATCTATAGCCAAACCTCAAGGAACTTTATGTTAAAAATTATATCTATTCCAAATAAAACTACGCTTGACGATTTGATATAGTCGCGTTACTTTTACCAGATTATAATAGTGGTTAAAGTACATATTAGGCTGATTTAGAAATCAAGACGGGAACGTTAAAACTGCTTGGGAAATCCAAAAAAGACTGTTGCTGAGTAACTTTTCATGTCTTGATATTTTGAAGTCCTGTTCTACCTTTTCTGCGTCTTCTAAAAAACGTCAAATTAAAATTGTTTAAAATATAAATAGTTTTCCACTTAATGTCAATTCTCCTTTTTAATGTCTTCTCAACGGGTTTTTAATATGATTTATTTGAATATTATTATTTTATTTTGTTATATATATATATATATATATATATATATATATATATATATATATATATATATATATATATATATATATATATATATATATATATATATATATATATATATATATATATATATATATATATATATATATATATATATATATATATATATATATATATAAGGCCGGCGCGATAGGGGTGTGTGTGTGTGTGTGTGTGTGTGTGTGTGTGTGTGTGTGTGTAAAAATCATTGATGGAGGACATCCCCCCCCATCAATGATTTTTAGTCGGCATACTGGACCCTTAGTCGGCAAATCAGACCCTTTTAGACTAGTTAGTCGGCAAATGTCGACCCTTTCGATATAGGTTAGACAGTCGGCAAATGTCTTAATGGCAGTCGGCAAATTTTGGAAAACGAGGACCTTTTTTTTTTTTAGCCGGCAAAAGTTGTAATGGCACCCCCCCCCCACGTGACACATAAGGATGCGATGATTAGAGCCTGGGAACAAAAAAGCCCCAAAATTTTTGCCGCCCCTGCCCCAAACGTGAGAGCAACAAGTTGATGAAATATTTTTTCTACTATTTTCAACCAGACTTATATTCATCGATAAATTTTAAATTTCGTAGCATTTATATAGGGCCATAATTTTTGAACACTAAAATATTTTACTATGAAATTTAAAATTTATTGATGAATAAGTCTAGTTGAAATGAGTACTAAAAATATTTTCTTAACTTGTTGCTCTCACGTTTGGGGGAGGGGCGGCAAAAAAATCTTATGACTATGATGACTATGAGACAACGAGGCCGTGGTTTTACAACCACCTTCTATAAGACGTCCGGGTCTCAGTTTCTAAATCAGCCTATTTTATATTAAAACATCTTTAAACCCAAGGAACCCTACTACGGAAGAAAATTACTAATAAAGCGTGGTTGAAAAAACATATTTTTTTTTCTGTTTCCCAGATTTATGGGTTAAGTTGATAAGGTTGACAAAGAATAATAAAATAGACACGGATACCTGCAAATAGACAAGCTAAAACTCTCAAACCCTTCAAGTATATAAAATATCTTGATCCTAATATTCTTAATAATTTCTAAGAATAGTATACCTCCAAAAATTATAATTTCCGAGCATTATTTCGAATTTATCCCTCTAAGGTCAGCTTATAGAATTTAATGTTAAGGAAAAATTAACAATGGAATTTAAACAGCAACACTGCAGTTTTGGCCATTTTCACCTATATATGAAGTGTATTTATTTAAACTTAAAACCTTAGTTTAAGTCTCAAAAAATAAGTTTTTTATACCTAAGGCCTTAAAGTATAGTAGTATAGTATCTTTAAAGTATAATAAATAATGTATAGTATAATAAAGTATATAGCCTTAAATTAAGGCTGTATATTAAGTATATTACTATTATAATATAGTATTTTTTATTATTATTGTTATTAATTAAACATGTGTGTTATTTCTAATTTCTATAATAATTTTTGTTGTCATTACTATTGCTTATTGTTATTTTTTATAAATTTTTACATTATTATTAACTATATAGTATTATTGTTATTATTATTATGGTAATTATTATTGTTATTATTAGTGTATTGTTGCTATAATAATAATAATAATTTTTTATTACTGTCATTTTTATTGTTGTTATATTATAATGTTATATTTTTACAGTATAAATTTTTGTAATTACAACTATTATTGATATCTATATCATACTATTATTGATATCTATATTATATTTATTGTTTTTCTTATCACTATTTTATTATTATTGAATTTGACTTAGTGTTAACTTAATATTAGTATTCATTACTATTTGTAAATATCCTTAATGTAAGAACTTTTATTCAGAAATATTTTTGATTTGATTTGATTATACTTATAAGTATAGACTTCAAGGCTTAAAAGTTAAGAGTAAGGTTAAAAGTTTAAATAATGAAATTGTAAATTTCATTATTTAGCTTTATTTCATTAACTAAAACAGTTGCTGTTTAATACTTCGTTTTCTTGTAAGTATAATTAATAATGTAAGCACAATTCAATAATGTTAGCATAATTCAAATGTTAGCATAATACAAATTTGTTATGAATATGTATATTTCATAGTTTTATTTTTAATGTAATTTTTTTCTGCATAACAACTGTCATTTTCAACATTCTTTTTTTGGAATGTTGAAATTTAAAGTTGGGCTGAAAGGGTGAATAATAAACAAATAAATTTGTTTATTATTCCACCCTTATAGCCCTAACAAACATTCTCAAGCCCCACTTTGTTAGGTTTTTTGAGTTATACTATGGCTCACAACAACTTGTAGTGTTACAACTAATACTATAACTTTTAGTGTTAAGTTTTGTTTCTTTTATTTTTGAAGTTTTGATTGCTCATTAAATATGCATTCTGGTAAATAATGAAATTAATACACAAAACTTTTACACATTTTTAAACTCTTAAGTTGCTGAATTGTTTAAAAAACTTTTTAAAAAATACTTCAAAACTTATCAGATTTCAACTTAATAAACCAGGTTTTTTCTATAGAATTTGTATACTGTAAAGTATGGAAAATAATTCGTTTGCTTACTAAAAACATTTGAATTTTGATAAAAATTAGAGCTAAAAATTGATTAATTTTGATAGAAATTAGAGCTAAAAAATAGCTTTTGTCTCAGATGAGCAATATTAACTTGTTTTATGAAATAAACAGGAACTTTATAGTATCTCAGTACCATAAAAAAAAAAAAAAAAAAAAAAAAAAAAACCAAGTGTACTCTCATTTAGTTTGAATTAATGAACAATTTATCCTATATTTATATATATTTCTATATTTATATACAAACTCAGTAGTTAATTTACTTTAATTAACTTATTAGACTTATAAGGGTTGTTTTAATATTTAAGACTCTCTTCTTTTTATACGTTATATTAAGAACACATTTAAATTCAACAAGTTATGGCTCCTTCACCAGATGATAGCGATGATGATATATATGTCTTAGATGAAGATGCAGAAGTTATTACACTTGATGACAATGATGCTCCAAGTAAGTTTATAGTTTTGTTTATTTACCAATACATTTTCATAAATAAGTCTATAAATATTTTTACTATTTTAAAAAGTAAAAATATACTTTTAAATATGAAAAAATTGTTGATTATAGAAAAATATCAATAAAGCTATCTATGTAAATAGCAAAAAGTGAACAACAAAACTAGATAAAAATATGCATCTTTTTATCAATACTTAAATATGTGTATAGGGTAAGACGGGGAACATTAGACTAATTAGCTGGTTTTTATTAATTTACAAATGATTTTTTGCCAGAAACAATTAAATTTTTTTATTATTACAAGTAATGGTCTTAAACAAACAAGTTAAAAAGATAATGTATATAAAATATTTTTTTTTGTTAAGTCTACCACTGTTTTAAAAGTCAGCCTCAAAGTGGTTTATTGTATAAGGGTAATTTTGACCATTTAATAATCTACAAGCTTTTTTTATTTTTATTTATTTTTTTTCAGGTTGACAACTCTTTTTTTAAATTTTTTCCAAATAAAGTTTCTCAATTTTTTGTTTTTCAGGAGTGTCAGTATATATCGTTGACTTCCCTGGTTTCCTCTTTATCTGTTGTGCTTTAGACAAGGGCTGCACATGTTCTGGAACCAATTTTTGTTAGAGTTATTTTAGTAGTTGTTTATTGGTAGATAAGGGTGGTAAATTATTTTGTAATGGTGTACCTATTACCCCTAGACTTTCAGTTGGTTCTCCCATTAGGGTTCTATTTGTGACATATCTGGGCATGGAATCTTTTTGCAGCTTGTCGTTCAGGCAGTGAATTATTGAAAATACTAATAATTGCTTCCTTTACCACATTTTTATTACTTTTATTTCTATCTGTTATCGTTACATATTTTTGAGGCATCTAAAAGATAAGAGAAAGCATGGGTTGAATGTTCCACAGCTAGGTAGGTTGAATGTACCTATATATAAACAAAGGCTGTTAAAAGCTGAAATCAATTTTTTAAAGTAAACTAAACACAAAGGTGTTTAACTCTAGATATTATTAAATAATAAACAAGACAAAAGTTTAGAAGATTAAAATTGAAAAAGAGATTCTCTGCGGATTATTTCAAATATAAAAAAATTAACTTTTATACCAATAATCAGATTTTCTTCTATATAAGTACCCATACTAATAAAGTTGGATCAATACTTAGTTCCTGCTATAGCTTATTAGTTGACAAAACATGCATAAGAATTTTAGGTGGTAATTTTAATCATGCTGGTAAATATTTAAAAAAGTCAAATGTTACACATGATCGAATGTCATCTTCCTCTATATTCCCCGTCTTCCTATATATATATATATATATATATATATATATATATATATATATATATATATATATATATATATATATATATATATATATATATATATATATATATATATATATATATATATATATATATATATATATATATATATATATATATATATATATATATATATATATATATGTATATATATATATATATATATCAGTGGTGAACACTGGATTTTTAGATGTTTGAGTTTTGACACTTACACGCATTTTGCAAACTCCAAACTTTTGTATGTTCATACTTATGTCAAATAAGAATGTTTTGCAAAAAGTTGTGGTGATTGGAGCTTGGGGACAAAAAAAAACCAATTTTCGGGCCCACCCAGCTCTTAATGTGGGAGCAACAAATTGACAAAATAATTTCTTTAGTATTTTTATCTAAGTTTATATTCATCAGCGAATTTCAAATTTCATGCAATAACCTCTTAGTTTTTAGTTTTTATGACCCTACAAAGTTTATAGCCCCCTCAAATTGAGGGGCGTTAAAACTTTATATGCTCATAATTTTCAAAAAATAAGAAATTATTGGATGAAATTTGAAATTTGTTGATGAATATAAACTTAGATAAAAATACTAAAAAAATTATTTTAACAACTTAAACATACAAAAGCTTGGAGTTTGCACAATACCTGTAAGTGTCAAAACTCAAACATCTAAAAGTCCAGTGTACACCACTATATATATATATATATATATATATATATATATATATATATATATATATATATATATATATATATATATATATATATATATATATATATATATATATATATATATATATATATATATATATATATATATATATATATCAGGCTTGGTCGGGAAGCGGGAGCGATCGCTCTCGGTTGCTGACCATGTAAATAATATTTAGTTGCGAAAAGCTGGCCAGATTTTTTAGCCGTTTTGAGAACATTTTAAAAAGCAAAAAAAAAAAAAGCGACTAAGATTAATTGGACCGATGAGAGACAGTTACAAAAAAAACAAAAAAAAAACAGGCAAATAAAATATCTTTAAACGCAAAAAAACTTAAAGCTAAATAAATTACATTTAGAACAAATATTTTCGAAACATCGCTCTTTTACAATTTTTTTTATAAAATTAAGCAATGTTTTTTATATAAAGTCACAACTTACGATTGTTTAAAAGGGAAACAAATATTCTTTATTTAACTAAGTTTGCAAGTTTTAGTTTTACTTAAGCTTAATTTATTTTATAAATAAAAAAGTTAATTTTTTTAATACCTATTTTATGTTTTGCGTAGTTTGAAAAGTTCAACATATTTAAAGTGATTCTTCTTAGTAAGATAAACAAATGAAATAATTAAATCATTGAATTACTATAGGAATTAAATTATCAAGATAGAATTCAACTAAAAAGGTTAAAAATACTTAATGACCAGGAAGCGAAACTGCTTTACAATATCGCTGATGATGTTTAGTGAGTGGGCTTTTTAATTTTAATTAGTATTTAAAGCAGCAAAAAGTATAACGAGTTTTAAGAATGGCAATTTAAGCGAAAATAATTAGAGTTAGCAAACCTATATCTAGAAACTTTTCTTTAAATCTAATTATTTGCTATATATATTTGTGTTCTGTCGTGACCTCAGGCGAGATGCTTGTTCATCCGCGAGTTACTTTGTATGCGTTGTTTGTGTTTAGTAACCAGAAACTTCTTATATGTTTGTTACATAATTAGTTTTATTAACTTTAACGATTATAACTTCATTGAAAACGCAATTATTTTTGTAAGTCTTTGTTTAAATCATGAAAATTGCTTTAAAAGATACATTATGATAAAAAACAAATACACAAAATTACATTTACATAAAGAATACAATCTCTTTTAAAATAAAAAATAAGAATATACTAATAAAATCTATGATTTATAATAAACTTTTAAAATTTTGACAACTTAATTAATATATATTTAAAACATTTATTTTGGTAAACAAATAATAAATATTTTTAAAACAATTTATGCTAAAAATCTCAAAACGTAACAAATCATGAATAATACAAATTCTAAAACATTTCAACAGAATACTCTAGAACTTTATTTCACTTAATCAGCGTATTTTTTGAACCAATAGAATTAGTTTGTTCGTTAATTTGGCGGGTTTTTAATGTTCGCAAATATTTTCTTTATTCTTGCGCTCAAAGATGTTTTGAGAACATTCAAGTTTTTTATGTTTCCATGTATGTTCGTAAAACAAAAATTTTTAGTTTCGTACATAAACTTAAATGTTCTCAAAACGACTAAAAAACCTGGCCAGTTTTACGCAACTAAATATAATTTCCGTGGTCAGTATTCAAGAGCGATCGCTCCCGCTTCCCGACCAAGCCTGATATATATATATATATTTAACCAATATAAAGCAAAAGAGAGTCAAACCAGTAAACAAAAGTAAATCTTTAATTCTCAAAATATTTATTATTAAAAATATTTTTTTAATAATAAATATTTTGAGAATAAAAGATTTGTTTATATTACTTTTGTATATATATATATTTTTTTGTTGTATTTTGTATATATATATATATATATACATATATATATATATATATATATATATATATATATATATATATATATATATATATATATATATATATATATATATATATATATATATATATATATATATATATATATATATATATATATATATATATATATATATATATATCAGGGGCTATTTTTAAGCCATTTTCGATTGCGTTGACCTTATTAAGGCGCCGATGTAGGCGCTGCCCAAATTATAATGTAAGGACCTTTTTTTTACGTTTTTACACCTAATATTGTTTTTTTGCGTATATATATATATATGTATATATATATATATACATATATATATATATATATATATATATATATATATATATATATATATATATATATATATATATATATATATATATATATATATATATATATATATATATTATATATAATGTATTTTATATAAATAATAATATTTTATATATAATGATATATATATCAAGCATTCCTGGGAAGCGTGTGTGGTCGCACGCCTTGTTTGTCTACGCTTAAAGCATTTTTTTTTAGACACCTTGACCACATTTTTATATAGTAAACATTTTAAAAATTTGCGGCAGAAAAAGCTATGAGAAATTAATGACAATAAAACATAAATATATGCATATACTAAACTTTTCTGTATTTATCAATCCACAGGAAAGCAAGAAAACTAATTGCTATTTACTTGAAAAACTTGTCAAAATTTTTTTTTTAACAAGTTTTTTATGTAAAAAATAAAAAGTCATTACTAATATTTAAATATAAAATATTTTGTTGTTTTCAATACTCCCATTGAAATAGTCTGCACTTTAGTAGGATTATCTAAATTGTGCATTTAAACCCAATAGTTTATTTCCTGATAAAATATATTTATATAGACAATGCTCCAAAACCTTGTAGACTAGTGCATTGTTAATTCACTGAACTTTTTTAACGAAATGTTTAGAAGCCTATTTAAAACTTTTTTTAAAGTTTTTAAATACATTTTTTTAAACAGAGCAATCGTTATGTTCAATATCTCTAGTAATTCGTTTTAACATTGGAAATTGGGCAATATAAAAGAAACAATTTCAGACATGGATCAAATTCGGTAAATACATTTATTAAAGAAACCAT